ACTACGGAAGTGCTCGAATACTTCCACATGGCAAAGAACGCCAACAGAAGACAATTTCGATTGGCATCAGCTGATCCTTGTTTTCTTGTTTCTAAATGATATTCGATTCGACTCGACTCGACTCGACTCGACTTGACTCAACTCGAGAATACGCCTTTCTCTTTGCATCCATTCACATTCCACGTGTGTGCACGCTCCTTTGAACTTATCGTTTCAAATTTTACTCTCTGTGTGTCTCAGTTTTATTTATTTATTACACTCTTATTGCTATCTATTCACTCTCAGTATCATCTATTCAGGATGAGTATTTTCCAGGAGGTATTTAATTTATTCATTTTCTGTTCCAAAATGTTTTATCTTCATTGCAAACTTCATTTTTATCAAATATTTAGATAAAAATATTTTAATGTAACCGGAAAAGGTTACTGCAAGACAAGAATGACGTCATTGAAAAAAGTATGACTTTTTAGATTGGTAAATTGGTGGATGATGCTACTTGGCGATACAGAGTACATGATGGATTTGATGTCACACCTAGCGACACTTTCAAACAAATCGTCTCCAAGGTGTAAGTGACAGATAGGAATTTTGTATTTACAACTTTATGACAACAGACTTGTGATAAAGCTTTTTTTTGAGAACTGAGCTTTCACCGTTCATCTCCATTTATGTATTATTTAAACAGTGAAATGTTTGTGCTTTAGAGGAGGACAGATGACCCTTATCATTTTTCCAGATTTTTTTGGTCATTTCAGTATCTTCTCATTCTTCTCAGATGCTTTAAATCTCAAGTCACACAGCATGATGAAGTCATATTTTTGAAATTGTGATTCATTCTGGTGACTTTTCTTTTGTCCAATTGCTAGCAATTAGATTTCACTGTCTCCAAACATAATCAAACTTATTCAGACTCAATGCGTTTTTCTTTTTCGGATTGGTTCTTGTTTCGCTTTAATTCCACATAAATGTGAAATGTAAAAGCGTTTCAACAAATCATCCACTTGAAAATTTAATTTGCCAATCTTATTTTCATACTTATAATCAAACAATTGGTTTAAAACTTTTGCGATAGGTTCTGAAATTTCTGAAAACAGTTGGTTTGTATCTTTCTTCATTTCCGTAAAAAAGATTTTTGTTGAAACTCTCTCTTTCTCTTTCTCTTCTCTTGTTCATTGGAAGGAAAGGTTAACATTCCTAAGACAAATTATTTTTTTATTAAATGATCTGTCAACAAAATTTCAACATGTAGATTCTTCCCTGTCGAGAATGTTTGGAGAACAGCCAGTTACTATAGACTTCGCGAAATGTATCAACCAAATTTGGGTGAATATCGCCAATCAAAAAGTTTCTCTTCGTTAGCACCAAGCAATGGAATACCTTATGAGTATGTTTTTTGTTGCAATGTTATTGAATGAAATTTTTTTCTGCTTAAACAATTTCAGACAATTTTAACAAATAACAAACATTTTTTCCCCATCTATGCTTTCTGTCTTTGATTATTTATTATTTTATTGCAAATGATTTGAATCATTTTTTCCCATAAAAATTTCTTCCAAATTCTATTTCAATGTGTTATTTTAATGAAAGAAGACGTGAAAAATATTGCACTATCATGGAGCATAAGTATATCCTTTACACATTAACAATGATAACAATATGCCGTGATTTTTGAAGGGATCGTGACACTCAACGATATTTTGGAACATTTCGAAGTTATGTGCCGAAACAGGCAGAATGGAAACTTGCACTGGAAAAGTACTCGAAGCCAAGAATTCACCGGAAACGTTTGTTGAAAACGAAGACAGAAATGAACGAGGTACTTTTCTTTGGACGTAGAGTGTATTAATGATGTAATGATTGACATTGAAGAAGCTAACAAGTAGACGGTCGAGCTGTTTATCTTATCTGTTCTTCGAAATTCATTACTGGAACTATGAGATCAGTCGGATCATCAGAAATCAGGAATCAGTCTTTTTTAATAAAAAGAAGGATTCAAGCTGTCATTAGCTGTCTCCTACATTTACATTTAGTTGGATACGTCATCTTTGTTCTGAGTCAACAAAGATGCAATCTTAGTATTTCATTTAAAATTGAGAAGGCTGGTTCAGGAATATTATTATAGTAAATATTGTTCACTATGAAATTTCAATATTTTGGACACTATAGGCTGTGTCTGAACTGAAATTAAAACCGTCCTACCAGAAGTTGAACGAATTTCCGACATCAACATCCAGAATAGATAATTATAATTTATATTGGCGAGGTAAGTTGATTATATTAGTTGTCATGTTTCATAAAATTAAACAAGCAAAAATTTAAAAGGTTCGAAGGAAGGAAAAAATTTAATCAAATCTGGCACCAACTTGAAAAGTTCTGAAATGTAAAACTTTTTTTCAGGTCGTTTGAATGGTGTCTTTGGGACAGGAGCATTATTTTATCCATCAAACTTCATAGGTGAGGAAGATCGACGATACGAACGAATCTATTGGGGCCAAAACTGGATGGATTACATAACACCGAGTGCAAGACATGCTACTAGTTTATTACTTTCAGCATACTGAAATGATACGACAGAAGAAAAATGATGAAAAATTGAAAAAATAGGACAAGTTGGAGCTAAATATGGAAAGTAGATACAAGACAAGTAGATGGTAGATGGTAGATACAGTAGATACAAATTATTTATTTCAAGTAGATACAAATTATTTATTTCAAGTAGATACAAATTATTTATTTCAATTAGATACAAATTATTTATTTCAAGTAGATACAAATTATTTATTTCAAGTAGATACAAATTATTTATTTCAATTAGATACAAATTGTAGATTACAAGTAGATACAAATTATTTATTTCAAGTAGATACAAATTATTTATTTCAAGTAGATACAAATTATTTATTTCAAGTAGATACAAATTATTTATTTCAACACAGTTCCTAATGAAAACTGTATTTTTGGGGTAACACTTGACAGATCTTGAATTATTCTGTCAAATTCTTACTGATTCAGTTTTGATATAATATAGGAAAACACTGCCGAATGGAATATACACCTCTTTAAATTACATATTTTTACTTTTTCCGTTCGTTGAGGAACTACTTATAAACTAGTATGACTTTAATTGTTTGATTTATTTATTTTGATCGACTACTGATCCATTTTCCGGTATACATAACAACATTCTTAGTACTTCACTATGTTTCATCATGGAATTTGCGCTTGAATTTCATGTGTAGTGTTTTAATGAATAAAATATACAAAATTTGATTCATTTACAATGTAATAATTCATTTGCAATGCAAGTTGAATATACGAGTTGCAAATTGCTTGCAAGATTATGATCAATGGAGGTAGTCAAGATATTCCCTGTCTAATTGGATGTTGATCAAAAACGGAATGATATATTATTCCGGTATTCTGCAGTTCCTCCTACAATGTCCTTTACACATCCTTTGTCTTTAATGATAGGAAGGAATCTATGAGATAATTCAGAAAATTTAGAATATTATCTTGACGGCTTTAGCATTTCATTTGTACACTGAATACTTTTTGATATTTTTTGCAATTATGACTAAACTGGAAATAAAAATTTTGAATGTTATGGTGGTAATTTGTAATATTTCGATTAGGATGACACATTAAAATGAACTGCAAATTAATTTGTTTCGCATCATTTTCTAAAGTTTCTTGCAAAATTGAGTTTTCTGTTGTCGCATTGAAGCTTAAGTAATAAAAACATTAATATCGATATATTCAACACCTTCTATAAGTAATCCACAGTTACTGACAATTTTTGCTTAATTCTCTTTAATCGAATAGAATTTGAAATTCCGAGACTACAAGCTTCGAAGTGAAATTTCTTTGAAAAATTTTTTGAATTCATAAATACTGCTGGTAGAATGAACAACAAAAAAAAAAAAAAATTTCAGGGCTTCGGTGTATATGATACCAGCTAGAACTGCTGGCACTATTCTTAGCTTTAGATAATCCTAGACGACAAGGACATCCTTTTCGTACCTGATATCCAGTCGTGGAATATTTCCGGATAGTTATGATAATTATTTGAAAATTTAGACAGAACAGCTAATCTATTCCATCTATGGATTGCTTTTTGTCACTATCATTCTTACTTTTATTACTAATTAAAATTATTAACAGTAAAATAATCCTTTAGTGGCTGATATTTTGAATATTTAGCAGTCGAATGAATGATAGCTAACTGTATACGACCTATCAGATTCTTCCACAAACTTCACATAATTTATCCAAACTTATTTTAGTAAAGGTTCGGAGAATATAGAAATTTGAGATAATGATTTATTAGAGTGAAAATGAACTTTTTGCAGAATATATCTCATAGAACAAAAAACAAATTGAACTAAGGACATTGTCTTACGAAAACTTTCTCAAACACATAAATATGTTTCACGAATAAATCATAAATGTTTAAACTTTCTCAGCAAAAAATGTTTTAAAAACTACTTTCAAATTGAAAGAAATTAGAGCAAATTCATACATTTACAATGCATTATTTACAGAAAGAAACTATTGTCAAAAATTAACCTCATTCAGATCTCACTACTTCAATAACATCGTTTAAATAACTTGGGGAAAAAGTTGTCAAAAACATAATTCTTCCACAAAATTTCCAAAATCTGTGGCACGAAAATGTCCAAGTTATTAAGACAAAAAAGGAATAATCGACGGTAAAATAATAGTAAAATATATTTAAGTTTGAAAATCCACGTGAACAATCTTTTAATCTATTCTCTAAACAAAGATATTTTAAATTGCTTACTCATATCAAGAATCAGTATATACTGTCTAAATAAATTTGTTTTCCGCAAATTAACAATACACAAGCCACTGATGAGAGTACAGAATGGATGAGACGTTTGAAATTAAAAACCGATCAAATAAGCAGAACAGCAAACCGATTCTGAATTTACGATTGATGAAAGTATGAAGTGATTGAACTGAACGAATAATTCAATTACTCAGTTCTGTGACAGCATGAAGAAGTTTTGAAGAGTGGTAACGCTTGTGTCAACTGAAGCACTTGGTGAGATTGACGACAAATATGGTTCGTTATGCGCTGTACAAATACCTGCCTGTGGATACTGTCAGGTAAAACAACACATTTAAGTGCCAATTAATTAATTAATTGTCATTTTATGCTTGCAAATAACAACAAATATTGCTAATTCCTGATATACTATGCAGATCATACAGAAATAAAATGTTAAAATTCGAAAAACCCATAGTAAATAATATAAGCAGAAATGAACTAAGAAAATGTAAGTTCTCACATCAAACAGAATATTATTTGTAGAATGGCTGGCACTCTGTTTGTATAATCTCTTCCTTCCCAATGTTTTAGTATTCATTCCTTTCACTGACTTCTCCTAGAATTAAGAAATAATTTTAACATTGGTATGCTATTCACAGCATTCCTGATAACACCCTTAGACAAAAGATAATGCCATGGAAATTTTAACAAGATATCTTTGGAAAAAATAATAAAATTTAAATACTTCAAATGCTGCTATGTATTTTTGAGCGTACATTTTGAGCTTAACAGCAGTTTCTGCACAATCCATATTAATCCGTGCATTAAATTCTCCTGAAAAGAAAAGAGAACAGATATTCATAAGCAATTTGGTGCAATCTCAATTCGCCTCTCAAGATTAGCACTATCCGAAGTACACATATTTATTACCTTTGTCATTCGGATTGATTTTTAAATAATGCGAACGATGTGGAAGAGTTTGAAACAGCGATGGTACTGGAAAATGTATTTGAATAGTTTGAAAAGTAAAATTTCACGGATTTTAGAAAAAAAAATAAAGTAGCAATTTGGAACAAATTTAGGAAATAATTCAATTGCTTAAAATGAAAAAATTTGCTTGAAAAAACATACACTGAAAAGCATGCTTCCAACGATATTTCTCGTTCTTAGTTTGTGACATATCGTAAACATCCTTCATAGTAATGTGCTCCTCTTTGCCACATGCAACACAGTTCACGGTATCCTTTAGATGCTCGAACATGACTCGAACACTGGAAGAAAGAGTAGAAGCATGCAAACACGTGGTGATAATTAATATTAGTAGACAAAAACGCTTCGCTTCGTCTGTTGCGCAGTAAGCACAAGCCACACTCCTACTTGGCTACAACTCTTATCTTGTCCTTAAGAATAACAATCCTAGTTCACTATGACTTTAATTTGTTATTTGACCATTAACATTAAGAAGTGCAATCACATCCAGCAAAATGTCAACCAGAAATGTGCTCTTAAAAACTCTACAAGTACCAACGTTAACTTTTACGAATCAAATCTCGAAACGATCGTGGAAATATATGTAGTAACAATTAGTGCAGCTTTAATTTCAATATTTCATCCTTTTGAAAGTATTCTAATCAACTAATGCTTTAAAATATTTACTTCAAACTGTGAAATCATTCCAGATATTATCTACAAATAGTAATTGCTTAAACTCTACCAGCCGAAGTATACGTCTCCTGTCATATGTCACATCTCACCCCCTCACATGTCATGCCCACCCTCTCACACGTCATGCCCACCCTCTCACACGTCATGCCCACCCTCTCACACGTCATGCCCACCCTCTCACACGTCATGCCCACCCTCTCACACATCATGCCCACCCTCTCACACGTCATGCCCACCCTCTCACACGTCATGCCCACCCTCTCACATGTCATGCCCACCCTCTCACACGTCATGCCCACCCTCTCACACATCATGCCCACCCTCTCACACGTCATGCCCACTCTCTCACACGTCATGCCCACTCTCTCACACGTCATGCCCACTCTCTCACACGTCATGCCCACCCTCTCACACGTCATGCCCACCCTCTCACACGTCATGCCCACTCTCTCACACGTTATGCCCACCCTCTCACACGTCATGTCCACCTCTCCCCACACGTCTTCCCATCACTCACCACCATTCAAAAGCTATATTTAGTGAATATTTATCTCACTAACTCTCTGCCCTCTCCAGGAAATGCGCTATTTCCCGATGATTTCTATCTTTCGAGCCATAGATATGGACGTGGGTGACGTCACCACTTCATGAATTTTTTAAATTTAGTAGAATCGAGACTAATTAGCTGCAACTTTTGTACTAATACAAATGTGTGTACGTACATATATGGAACCAATCAAAAGATACAGCGATGGAATAGACAACTAGGCTCCTAATTGCTAGTGGAAGGTTAAGGCCAAGAGCAAATAGTTGGCCTAATTGCTAGTGAAAGGTTAAGGCCAAGAGCAAATAGGTGACCTAATGAATGAATGCTTGTTCACTCCTCACCAAAACAAAAGGATGAGAAGAAAATTTCAACAAAAATAGCAGAATTTTAAGGTTAGTTTCCTCGATGAAAATATTTTCAAATCATTTCAAATAGACAAAATTTCTTAAAAGAATTAAGTTTTTTTTTTTTTTTTATTCTTAAAGATTTAGAAATATTTTTGTGAGATTTGGGCTAAATATTTCGAAATTTCATCAAATTAATCGTCAAAATCAATAATAAATGAAATTAAAGGAAGGAATTTTATGAATTCCGGAAGATTTCCACGAATTCCGGAAGATTATATTCTGAATAATTCATCTATAGAATTTATGAAAAGTAGCAAGTATACTCATCTTATCTTAGATTTTCCTTTGCAAAATTTCACTTTTTTGCGTGAATTCTTTTTGAGTGTCACATTTATGTGACTTTTATCGATATCAAATGTCTCTCAGAAATTGAATAATTCTTTATACTTTTGTAAATCAAGTCATGAGATATGAACTATGATATTTGATCCGTGGCAAATCCGTTCAGCCAAGAATTCATATCGAGAGTGATCAGTAATTCAAGCAATCATCTGGCTTATTTAGGAACGACAAACGATGCAATTGGTCGGGTCATTAGTTTTGTTAAAAATTTAATTCAATGAAAGTGAATGACTATGTCATTTGCAGAGAACTGGAAATGAAGAAGTGAACTCTTTAAGTTCCATTTTATATCGAAATTAAATCTCTGACAAATCAGTAATAATTGTTATTGAAGTGTTTAAAAGGAAATTCAATACCACTAAAGGTCATTGACGGGTCACAGTATCAAGTAAAAGCACCGAAGACACTTGCTTATTTGATGTTTTGGGATGTGATATGTCTCGTGTAACTCTCTCTCTCTCTCCTCTCTCCCCCTCCCTTTCCCTGAACTTCTGGCATTTTTGCATTTGACGTTGTGACTGCTTAGAAGAACAGTTCCGGGACATTTCCAATTTAAAGAATTTTTTTTTTCACGATGAGAACTTAGTTAAATTTCATGGATTTAGCACTCTGATAGAATAATTATCTCTATTTGAGGATAATTTTCATTTTATGATTTATGCATTTCTGATTTTCATTTTATGATTTATGCATTTCTGATTTTCATTTTATGATTTCCAACAATGATTTCATTTTATGATTTATGCATAAAAATTTAAGACATTCAATGGTAACAGATGCATTGATGGATCTTCACAAATTAGCAGTTGAGCGATCTCGAGTACTTTTCAGTGAATATTTTATCGAGAACGTGTGATGGAGAGAAATTGCGTGATTCAAGTGCACGGAATCAACGTGCTATTATTATTATTATTATTTTTTCAAGATATCATCAATTTCTTATTTGGTGGAGATAGAATGAGAAGTATTTAGAGGCACACAGGGAAAAAGTGCTGTATTTCATTACTTGAATGGTCGAAATTCAAAAACGTCAGACGACAGACGACAGTCATGCGTGGGCAGATGTCAACACGTGAAACAGGTGGGAATGAGGACATAGACACAAAGACATTTGCGCTATTGCTGTTTTGATCATAAGCGCTGCTAGTGACACATGCAAACGTGTTTATGTGCAGTGTGCAATTCACATTGCTCCAACTTTTCGTTTCTGTTTGCTTCTCCACTCAGTAAGCATTAGCTTATTTCAGGCTGAGTTATGCTTGAGACTAGGCTCTGTCCCAAATTAAGAAGACAAGTTGAACAGTTGGAAATTTTTAACTTTCTTATCAAACTATAACCACAATTTAATCTGGGCAATCGTTCTTTTTTTCCTGGTAACTTACTCATCACTCGCTGCTGCCCGACTTTTCATTTCTGCCCGGAATGCTTGCTTGCCTTTCATGCTACTACCGTTAGTGCTTTCCACTTCACTTCATCTCTTCCTCCTTTCATTCATCTTTTGCTAAGAAATCGATCAGCTCAGTTCTGTAGAAGGGACAGAGTGACACTTTTACCAATCTTCCAGGTATCTTTGATTGGATTTGTTGTTCTGCGAAGTTTCGCGATGTCCTTTGTGTGTCATCGTTGCTCATTGTATGGAATTGATGATCTGACTGGAATAAGTGTAATTAAACTGGAAATATTTATTTATTAAAGTTGGAAATGATACTTCGTCTATTATCTTTATTTTGTTGAAATTCTATTCCTCATTTATCTCAGTTGACTTTCAGTGTAAACATAATTAAAATCTTATGTTTGCCTAATTATTATTCCTTTACACTTATGTCAAAGATGCAATCACTTCATGACACCAATTTTGATAAGAATTAATTTTGTTATGAGGATACAGCTTACAATCGGTATGAATTCCGGTAGCCGGTTTACTTTAATGAAATGTAGAGTAGTTGCTAATCCTTCTGTTGTTATGGCTAAAGTGACTATTGATCACCTAAAAATGTTGATCAAATTGTTCTGTTTTAATTCGTTGGCCAATTCGTTTATTATTATGAATACTCCATAACACAAACTTTTTAGTCTGAAATTGCTAGGTAACATTTTCTTTTCGCAAAAGTCTGACAGTACTTGCACACTTTGCTTTATTCTTTCTGTGTTAGGAATGAATCACACTGCTAACCAAACTATTTGATTAATTGCTTTTTCGACTATTCGTTTTTTTAGTGTCAAATAGTTAATAGTTGACAGGATCGGCAGACCAATTTTTTTATTGAATTATTTAACTTACAATCTAAAATCTCGAATCACAGTTATCGGTTATTGCTTTGGAATAGTATCATTTTACCGAGGAATTCTTGATCTGATTTTTGTAGCTTGTGGTAGTACTGTTTATTAACTTTGAAGTCTGTCTTTTTTTTTTGTATTTGTTCTTGTAAGAATTGTCTACTTTCTCTAAGGTTAAGATAAGAATAGAATAGTTTATAGTTTGTGCCCGATATGATAGTAACTGCATGGTAAACTGAAATTGCAATGTTGGAAAAAACATTTTTGACGTCATAGGATCATCTTTCAGTTTTGCTTCATATAGGTCACAGTACTAACTCACTGAACGAATCTGTCACCATCTATATTTGTATATTAGACAGACAACTTTTGAATTTGAAATTAGATACGAACAGAAAACATTTACTCGAGAATAATCCAAAAAACAAAAATTAGAAATTAATGTATTAAATACATTCACGGTATTTCTTTCTCTGTTTGCATATTTTTTTTTTCTCTTCTTACAGCGAAAAGCGAAAAGCCTTTCAGTACTAGAATTAAACCATTATGAATGAATTATGATAAACACATTACGTTGTGTTTAATGACGAGAAGAGAAGGTATTTATTGTTGGTGTGGTAGGATTATCAGTACCATTTCTATTTAATATATTATATTGAGGAAGGAGAACGATAAAGGAAAACGAGAAGCAATGTCAGGAAATGATGAGCGAATGCAGCGAATTCATCTGGGAAACGATGAATTCGGTGGTTTGATCGGAGGCCTTGCAGGAAACTTCATCGAGAATCAAGTTGGTGGTGGTTTTGGACAAATTCTTGGTGGACTCTTGCGAGGAGGCGGAAGCGGTGTAGATTCTGGTACAGCTTCTTGAATTTTTCATTTGAAATTCTTCATTTTGCACTTAATGGTATGATGTATTTATTGGCATAATTTTTAGAGATTTCTGTTCAACTAATAAAACAATTATTTGCTTGAGAAAGCATTCAAACAATAAAAATAGTCATGTTGTTGGGCTATTCTTACCCGATGGGCTGAAATTATTTTTGTTTGAAGGAACGATAATCATGTGATGGTTATGTGGGTTTGGTTTCATATTGTTTGAATAGCTGTTTGCAATTCGATAATCTCCTTTTACGTTTCTTTTTTGTGTTGATAAGAACTCCAACATTTGAATTTGTAAGCATTTCTTCTGGAAAGTTTTCAGGTGGACTGGATGTAGGGAATTTGATTGGTCAGTTTGTTGGTGGTGGCGCTCGAGAAGGTAGTGGCGGAGGTTTGTGATAAATTATTGAGATGAACAGTGCTCGTTATATATTTGAGAATTAGATTTGTTACACTTAATGATGGTGAAGGATGAATAAAAGAATGTAAATAGCTGACAAAGTGGAATTTTCCTAACGATGAGGTAAGGAACGACAGAAATTGGTGATCTGTCGATAATAGAATGTAGGCTTAATGTTCAGTTTCAGTCTACTTTTTCCCTTTTTTGTGCCAAACTTTTTAAAAATAAATTTTAATCTATTTTCTTCCTTTCCTTAGGAGACAATGTACCGCTGGACTTTTTGCGTGGTGGTGTTATTGAGGTGCTATCAGATATGATTGGTAAAGCAGCACATCATTTCCTGGGTGTTGATCCGCAGACGGGTCGTATTATTGGTGCAGTTGCCGGTAATGTGCTGTTTCAGCTAGGTGGAAAAGATAACAAATTATCGGATATAGGCAAAATTGTTTTGGACAACATCATTTCCGGAAAATTCCACCGCAAGGTTGTTTTTTCTATCTTTTCAACCTTTTCTTTGTTTTACTTTTTCCGAAAGGAAAAGGTTGACTTTCCTTAGTTTTTTGTTTTTTTCTGAATAGAACGAGTCTTTTTAAAATGTAATCTAGATTTAATTTGTATGATTTTCACTTTTTTCAACTTGCCCATCCTTATACTGTATCCGATATCTTAGCTAATCGTAGTTTCAGGTTGATCCTTATATTCCACGGGAACCACGTTTGATACCACGTCCACCATCACCAAGTCGAAGAAGCGAAGCACTCGACTTTTATAAAGAACGTGATCGATGTTTGCAAGTCAGTGAACCCTTGAGTATTTTGCATTCTTAATGAATTATCATAAAGCAGTGCTTCTCCAGAAATGCTACTTTTATTGTTTAGCAAATTGTTCTTCTGTTACAGTCTAATACTCTGTTCGAAGACCCAGAATTTCCAGCCGATGATTCCAGTTTGTTTTATAGTAGACGACCTCCGAAGTACATTGAATGGCTTCGTCCAGGAGTAAGTGAATTTCAGTTGTTACTTTCAGTTATTACCTAAGATTACGACTTTAATGAACGAAAGTTTATTGAAGGAAATCGTCCGCGAACCAATGTTAATTTCGGAGGGACAAACTCGCTTCGATGTGATTCAAGGCGAACTGGGAGATTGCTGGTTGATGGCTGGTGCTGCAAGTTTGACCCTACGTGATGAGCTGTTTTATCGTGTGGTCCCACCGGACCAGAGTTTCACCGAAAACTATGCTGGTCAGTTAAGAATTAATTTATACAGGTCCTGCAATAAGTAAACTTACAACGTTGTTAAAGTGCCTACTTCAGTTTTATCTCTTTTTTGTTTTACTTATCAACGTTTGCATTCCTCATTTATGGTGATAGCTTTGTCCGACAAATTCTGTTACGAGTTGAAATGTGTTATTTAATATATAATGGAAAAATCAGTTTAGTATAAGGGAATTTCATTTTACAACTATGAACCTAAAATTTCAAAATTTCTATTTATAGGAATATTTCATTTTCAATTCTGGCATTATGGTAATTGGGTGGATGTAGTTATTGATGACAGATTACCAACATCAGGTGGAAAGCTTTTGTATATGCATTCCCGTGAACATAATGAATTTTGGAGTGCTTTGGTCGAGAAAGCTTACGCCAAGTTAGTCTGGAGATTTTTAGAGAGAACTAAGAGACAAAAAAGAAAGAAAATATTTCTTCAAATTGTAATTCATCAATAATTTTATAGTGTTGATTTAAACTACTTTTTCTTTAAGCTTTTTTTTTTTCTTTTTTTCATGAAATTTGACTAAAAACGTAGCATTTGCAGGTTATACGGTAATTATGAAACTTTAAAAGGTGGTACAACATCGGAAGCATTGGAAGATATGACTGGTGGTTTGACAGAGTTTATTGATTTAAAAGAATCACCACCAAATTTATTACAAATGATGTTTCGGGGCTTTGAAATGGGTTCTTTGTTTGGATGTAGTATTGAGGTTAATGATTTCATTCATTATAATAAATTTTTTCTTTTATAAGTTTCATCCATACTTAGTGTTTTCAACAGTTTTCTTAAGGCTTCACCAATGGAATTTGAGGCACGTACACAGCAAGGATTAGTTAAAGGTCATGCCTACAGCATTACAGGAATGAGACTGGTTAGTTTATCGCATATTAGCGAATTTTGCATTGAAAATGATGCAATATAGTCCAATTTACAGGTATGCATTAATATGATATTATTATGATATTATTTCTTATGATATATAGTCGAGTATCCATTGCGAATGATGAATCTCTCATAAATATTGGGAATCTTTCACCTTTTGGTTCAAAAAATTTTTACATTTTAGATTGAAACATCACAAGGCAAAATTCCTCTATTGCGAATTCGTAATCCATGGGGTAATGAACAGGAATGGAATGGTGATTGGTCAGATGACAGTGAATTATGGGATTATGTTTCCAGTCAGCAGAAGAAAGATATGAATCTTGTCTTGGCGCATGATGGCGAATTTTGGTTTGTTTGATTTACAGTTAATTTTGAAAATTACATATTTATTGTATTGGGTAATAATTTGTACGGCAATACGTGCTGTACTGTTATAAAATATGAATAAGTAAAATTATGTAGTTAGCGTTTGATTGTTTAGTTTTAGTAGTCATGGTTTCATGATAAATTCAAAACATCACACCAAGGTTTATTCGTCATAGGATGTCATTTGATGACTTTATGCGATATTTCAACAAAATGGAAATCTGCAATTTGGGACCAGATGTTATGGATGAAGTACGAGAGATGACTGGTGTGTCAATGGAAGATGCAGGTTACGGACGCTGGAATACTCGTTGCCATCTTGGCGCATGGATAGGTGATACTGCTGGTGGTTGCCGAAACTACTTAGGTACAAAATGTCATTTAACCTACTCAACCATATGAAGAATGTAAAGTATAAATTGGGAATGAGAGTGGAAGCACTAGTTTGTAAACATTTTTTTCATTATTGCAATTTTTTATTATTTTTCATTGCTGAGAATTATGTGCAAGCGGGGATTGATGAAGTGTCGAAATATACGAATTGCTTAACCACACTGCTAGTTTCTGGGACAACTTATTTGAGAGGAATGTTAGATGCTTCGCAAAAGGATGAAGAAGGGCTATCGGATAACTATATTCAACTTCTTACAGTAAGGATGGAGCAGCGTGATAAGAAGCGATTGTTCAGAAGAGGATGTATTTAGTCAACGGTTATTAATTTCAGTAATGATTTAGATCACATTGCTCAGAAATTATGAGTAATCCATTCATAGAAATCTACTAGTTTAAATATTTGAATATTTCTCTTGCAGATACCTTTGCCAATAACTCTCAGTTTGCTATGACTCTTTCTAATCCAAATCCTGACGATGAGGATGGCCTTTGTACAATAATCATTGCCGTGCTGCAAAAGAATCGCCGTGAAATGAAACCTCAAGGATTAGAGAATCTTGCTATTGGCTTTTCTGTCTATAAGGTAATTTCAAAATTGATGTAATTTGCTACATGCTATATATTTTTTGGAAAATTTTTCGCTAATAGAGGTATTTTAAATAATTTTATTTATTTCATTATTTTTTTTAAAATTTTAAGGTCAATGAAATTTACGGCCACTTGGATCGGAGTTTTTTTGCATCACATAAATCATGTGCAAGAAGTTCTGCATTTATCAATCTTCGTGAGGTATCATTTTGCTTGTCAGTTACAATTTTCAGATACAAGTTAAGAAGACTGCGTTACTTGGGTAATATTTATGTTTATATGTCGCACCAGACGTACGTAACTTCATCAAAAATAGTTTGAACTAAAAGGTCGTACTTTGCCGAGCAAATAGTTTTTTTTTTCCTGGAATAAGTGGAACTTTCACATTTCGACTTGACTCTACCACTGCCGTTTTTGCTATCTAGAGTAAGTATTGGTTTTGAATTTTATGGAATTAAGAAAGTCTCATCCATTGCGAATTTTTAATAGCAACATGAAACCAATAATAACAGTTGCATTTACAGATTGCAGATAACAGATAATTACAGGTAACTGGCCGTTTCCGTCTTCAACCCGGCAATTACATCATTGTTCCATCAACTTTTGAGCCTGGTGAGGAAGGTGAATATATGCTCCGTATGTACACCAATGTAACCATCTCTTCCGAGTAAGTTTTGTTATCATACTTCCAGTTTTTCCTCTTCTCTTGAATATCCTTTTACAATAGTACTGGAAACAAATTCTCTATTGAAAAGAGGATTTTACAGAATTTTAGTTTTACGTTAACTATTGGAAGTATCCTATATCTTTTGGGATATTTCAGAGAGCTTGGTTAAATGTTTGAAGCAGAAGATGGGCGATAGGCTAATCACACATCAATAAAACAACTCTAACGAAAATAATTCCATGAATTTTTTTCTTTGCCAATTTTTTGAAATGTTTGTGTTATCGAAAAAGTAGCGAAAGACAAAAAAGAGAAAGGAGAATATAGTGCAAATATTTTTTGTCAAGATTATGTGTAAAATTTTGAGATTTTTATGAAAATTCAATATTTAGCGACTAAATTTAAATAGCATGCAAAGATTATGCTGCACTGATGGTTTTGAATAATGAAACTGATGACAAATAGTCCATTATATCCTTTGAATTTTCTTTGGCTTGCAAGTAAAAACATGAAAAAGGCTTTTCATGTTTTTACTTGAAAAAATTATATTTTTAATTGTGTTCATCTATCTACTTTTACCTTCTTGTTCCTGACACAAGTTTTACTTAATTTCCTTTAAATATACGATAACTTATAATGTTAGAATCTAGCTTATATTTTAAATTAGAATTTTAACTTGTGGACTAGATTATGGCGTTGAACTAGGAATCAGTAAGATTATTTTAGATTTTATGAAATTGAAGCAGAATAGCAAGAAAGGAAATTGAGTAATCATTATCGCCACTTACAAAAATGAAGGATTTGCGAACTTTTTTACATCGCATAGCAGTGAATCGTTGTGTCAACGAATGTGTCTAATTAATCTGAAATTGTGGCGAAAGCTAATGTACAGTGATTTTTTTGGATGAGAAGAATATCGTGCCGTGTACAGTGATCGATCGTTAGGAACAGACGGACGGACCGGATCTTCTTTCAGTTTACATCCCTACATATTGATTCGGATTATGCATACATGTTAAGCTAATCTATAGATGAAAGGATTTGCCGCAAATTAACAGGCCTGTAGCAAAACATTCTTCGTTAATTACAATCATTTCTTTCCTTTTCCGCCGACCCTCTTTGATGTACACCGTCGATGATCATTTATCAGCTCTATATCGGTCGCACCCTGTTGTGAGATGCGTAATCCATAAAAGATTATCGTTCATCTCTTTATGGTTACAAGCCGTTCGTGGTTATCATTTATATCCAAATTTAAATATATTTGAGTAGTCTTTAAAACTTTAGAGGAACTGTTTTAGTGCTCTTTCAATTGATATCCCATCCTTTTATCAAAACAGTGGTTGTCAACAATATCAATTACTTATATATGGCAAGAGTACGAAGAACTAACACTTCCGAAGTTTATGAGACTAAGCAATTTCCATTAATATTATTTGTAGTTAAAGATAAACAAGGTAAAAGGAGTTAGTTAATTTTATTTCATTCCGGAATTTTATGAGGTATTATGTCAGGTATTTGCGTAGAACTCTGTTCCGGTGAAATCTATGTTACGGAGATTCATCACGACAATTTTGCTTGTCCACAATGAATGGATGCTGTGAAGGCTTAATATCGTTACATTCTATTCAAGTCAAATGTCAACAAATCCCATCATTTTCCCTATCTATGTATTATGTATGTACGTGTACACATACACATACATGTATGTGTATGTGTGTATGTATGATTGCTTAAGCAAATGCATGTGTGTGTCTCTTTGTTTATGAACAGAACATTCAAATTTCATATAAACTGGTTCTCAGTCTCCCTGACGAATGCGCTACCATCAGAAACGCTGTTTTTATTATGATAAGAGCGTACATGGGTTTTTTTTGTTGGATCTAGCGCAGATGTCCTAGGGCCTAGTGTTTTTTCGTATCTCACAATGAGATCATCAGGATAAAAGAATTGAAAAACTGGGATAGAAGATGAAGAAAAGGAAAAGAGGAAAAGAAAAATTAACAATCGTCTGCACCATTCATTGAATGACCAGTTAGATTGAGAAAGTTGAAGTGGAATCTGACAAATTGCGCCCTTAATCCTCTCCACTAAAACAGTCACCTATACTTTCACTTCCTTCATGTTCATTGTCATCATAGCTTTTATCAGTGTTATTGATAAAAGCTATGATGACCATTATCATCTCCGTTCACTTCTTGTGTCGAATTAAATTTTAAATGATCAGATGAGTTGCATTTATTTAAAATAAAACATTCTTCGTTCTTTGATTTTATTAGTAGTTTTGGGGATGAAGTATTTCAAATATAAGAGTCGCCTAAGTTCACTTAATTAATCCACCGTAAAAGTAAGAATTATTCGTCAATTCACTAAACTTTATTTTCACTTCATCCTGTCTCTCTCACTTCACTACTGCCATTCATTAGACCTACGAAACAGCTTCTCTTTGAGTGCTAGTAGCAATTCTCAGGTGGGTTTGTGTTGAATTTCACTTCAACTTGTGATACGTTACAATTCAATATCATATTAACTAGTAGAGATCTTTGGTGTCAAAAGGAAATTTTTTGTCACCTTATTTAATCTAAATAAAATGAAACGATGTGATGCTGGTGCTGGTGGTAGTGGTGCTGGTGCTGGTGGTGGTGCTGGTGCTGGTGCTGGTGGTGGTGGTGGTGGTGGTGGTTTTTCTTTATCACTTGTGATGCTAAGAAGCTTCCCAAGCCAATATGTAAATCGATGGTTGGTTTGCTACATGTTATCATTATTCCCGTACATATGAAGGGACTACACACGCCATTCTATATAGTTAGTTCCTTTATATATATGTATGGTTATGATAATGGTAGTAAATAATAATCGTAATAAAGTAATAATATTGATAATGATAGTGATAAAAATGATAATAATAGTAGTAGTAATGATAATAAATTAGTAAATAAATAAAGGATAATTATAAAAAAAATAATAATAATATTGACAAAGCAGAGATAGATAATGGTGATACACATGCAATGCAATAGTTATGTGTGTAGGATTGTTTGCTACACATACCTCCGAGACAGAATCTTGGGAAGATAAATTGGATTTGGCTTGCTGATTTCACTTTTCTGTCAAATGTTAGCTTTAGCTTTTTACTTTCGTCTGTCTTTCTGTTTGCTTCTTCCTTTCGTTTCTTCTCTTAGAGCCATTATTTTTGCATTTGGAAGAGATGACCAGTGCATGTGAGAAGATTGAAGAATGAAGAAGGACCGACCGACCACCAACCAATCAACCTTAGCGTTTTTGGTTCCCTGAAAGAGGGTCCGCAAGCGGGCGGAAGAGGAAAGGAAAAGGAAAAAGCACGACTGATTATGAAGCATTCCTTCTCATCCGTTCTCTCCTCCTTCTTTCAGAGCACAGTTGTGAGTTCTAAAAGTAATCGATCTTTAGCATAGCTAATTTAAAAGCTAATTTCATCCTAATCGGTGGTTATCAGTTATTATCAACCTTACTGCTTATTTTAAACCATTCCTTACATCAAATATGCCAACCATCATTTCATTTGCTTCTTCTCATACAACTGCAGTGACCCGCATTTATTGAAAGTATGGACAGAGGACAGAAGTGACAAAGAACAGTGATGTGAGTGAGTGAGTGAGTGAGTATTTCTGATATACTCGAAAAAGGAGAAGAAATTAGTTATTATTTCATGAAATGAGTACATTTAACAAATCAGTTGACATCAAGCTAAAGTCAAATCAAAAATTTTACTGATTTCAAAGCACTCATATGTTGCTATCATCGCAATTATTTCAATTTTTTCGATTGAATCTTATAAATTTCGAGTAAGGGTTTAGTTTAATTTGAATTGATGCATATTTTATTTTATATCTCTTCTTTTAAAAGGTAATTCACGTCAAATATTTTCATATCGGAAATACTTTATGGAATGAAGCTTAAAGTCTTACAACAGTTGCATATCATTTTTATTGATCAATGCTTGTCATTGGAAAATTCTTTAAAATTTTTTAAGCATACTTAGCGATTGAATTTTATATAATATTATAATTTTTAAATTTGTGAATTAAGTTCAAAAGACGAGTAACTCTTTTTTTTTTTTTTTGATTACAAGTAATTTTTTCATAAATTACATCGTCAATAATTGCAAGAGGAAAGTGTATCAAATTATTCGTTTCCAGTATGAGAGAGAGAGAGAGAGAAAAAAAAAAGAAAGAGAAATTAACAGCGATAATAGTAATAGGGTGGAATAGAAGAAAGAAAATTGCCGCTGTGTTGTCCTGTAGATTGGTCGGAGTGAATTTTGTTCCTAATCCGAAAATGTCTAATCTAAAGCAGTTCCAATGTTTAGTTTACTTTGTAAACACTGTGCAATGTTGTCGGAATGTTTGATGTATTTCCACAAAGAAAAGGAAAAGTGGAGGAGGAGTGCTACTTGACAATTCATTCGTTTTTTGCTTTTTCTGCTTGTAGCTATTTGCAAGAAGAGGGTAATTCTACTACACTCAACAAATTTCCTCCAATCATTTCTCCGACAGCAATTTGACAACAAACTTGTAACATCTCTTGTCAATTGTATGATCAGATGATAAACTGATAATTCGGGAAATATTCTTATCCCATTCACGTTTGCATATTAACAACAGTCAGTTTAAAAAAAAAATCTTCCTCCTAGTTGTTGAAAGGATGATTGATTAGCTTTACTGATTAGTTATCCACCTTATGCCACCTCAACTTTTTTATCCCTGAACTTCTTTATTAAAATTAAGCATTGTCCAATATTCATCTTAACATAACTCTCTATCCCTTCACATTAGTTTGATGGTAGTACGATGAGATGGACACTAGTGGCCCAGATATAGTCTTAGACCACTTTTGATACTGGGACAAATATACGACTGTGTGATCAAGTTAACGATACTTTCCCTATCCACCACGGCCATTAAAGAGTGGTGGTAGTGAGCCTGCAAGTCTAGTCCTTTTATTTGACAGCTAGAAGATCGATTACTTGGACATCTCATGGCTAAACTGTGTGCAGAAGAGAGGAGGAAGAGGAGGAAAGCCTGAAGTGTCACCACCACTGTCAGCTTTGCCGATTCATTTCATCTGCGGAGACTCGAACTATCGATCTGTCTTCCTTATTATGATAATTTGAGGCAAACTGGCTGTGTATTT